TTATTGTCCCATATCATGGGGACAACCCCAATACTAGAAATGGCGCGCGCTTACGGTCTCCGTCCCCGATTATGGCTCCTGACAGAAGCCATTTATCAAGGGTGAATTTTTTATGGTGCTTTTTCCAAAAGCAAATGGGATTTTGTCTTGAACAATTTCTTTTTGGGAAGCATTCTGCCCTCCATCTTCGAAGAGCTTGGAGGCCGGCATTATTTCGTCCTCCAAGCAACTCGTCACGTGTGGGGAGAAGTACTGCGTGACTACCCAAAAAAGGACTCTAAATCCAGTACCTTTCTTGTTATTGATCCTGCTGTTTGGATGATCGGACGGACTACAGGTCCCTTTTCACCGGGAGTCGACTCGTACTACAAAAGATTACATGATAAGTATAAAATAAGAAATAATTATTTGAACAAGTCATGGATATATATCCAGTTCAGAAAAGAACCTCGTCCCAAGCAGGAGCATAAGTGAAATGCTCCTGTCTCGAGCGATAAACTTCATCTAGGATTCCGCAGCAGAAAGAGGGAGCAGTCTGAGTGCTGGTGAGCGCGACTCAAAGGGTTGGACAAAATGGGACAGTATAGGCGTATAGGTTTCAAAAATCGGCAAGGTACAAACTGCTTTTGGAGCAGTTTCAGGCAAATAGCCTGACACTTGGCAACAATATAGAACTTGTCATTCTCTAACTTGACATTTCTGGCGGGAAAACGACGTACCCCGCGAAGTTGTTGCCAAATTTTGTTCACAAAATTAAGGGATGTCTAAAGAGAGTTTCTTTTTTTGAATCATGTACGCCCGGCCCACTGTGGAAGAGAATTAAGTGGCAACTCCTTCACTGCGTTCCTCTACCACGTTGTCGACTTTCCTTTAGCCTCTCCCGTTAATTGTTCTCTTCGCTGTGGCACAGGTTTTTGGTTTACATTACTTGCAAAGAATTTGGACGTTCAGTTTATTCCGGACGTTTAATTTTCGGACACTTTTCATCTCATTTCGGACAAATTTCGATCAACAATTTCTGACACTTTGCCGAAACATAGCTAACCTAAATTTACGCTTACCAAACACGTTTTAATCTGAAAGAATATCTGTGAAAATGATATAGTTTTACTGCACCCTCAAGGTTTTATAGATACACCGACGAGAAAATAAGAAAAATTCTGTTAAGCCGTTACGTATCTCAAGCCTTGTCTCAACCAGAGTTCGCTCCATAAAGGAAACTAGTGGCTTTGGAGCTATTTAAAGGTCTTATACTGCACTGTAAATATTTCACACGGTTATATTTTCCTACACTTTTTCGTCCGAAATTTTTTGCAAGTAATGTAACTTTCGCGACCCTATTTTAACAGTAAAAATAAATTTGCTAACATTAAATCGTCAGTTTACGTAGCCGTCACTTACCACAGTGTTTCCGGGGGCTCCGGGATGGCCGGGTGGGCCAGGAGGTCCTGTTATCCCCGGACGACCTCTCCTGCCAGCTGGACCCTGTTGAGAGCAATGGAAGAAAACATCTTTCACTTGATGTATGACGTAGCGTGACGTTGCCACATGAATCACGTTCGCAGTAAGGATGCGCAGTAAAAATGGGTGCTGACGTCCCTGATTTGACGCCCTATGGTATAAAACCCAAGTTATCTTGACTTACCCGTGATCCTCTTGGTCCAGATCTCCCTGGCTGACCAGTAAGTCCGGAAAAACCCTGCAGCAGTTTGCATTTACAAATTCAATAAAGTCTGGAGGGCCTTAACCTAATTGTCCATTCGTGAATGAAATGGAAAATCACATTAATTACAAACCCTTTCTCCGCTGACTCCGTCCTCTCCCGGTTCCCCAATAACTGTGACGAGCTGAAAATTCAGCGAGAAAAATATATTTGGCATAGCTCCAATGGTAAAGCAGACGTGTGTTGGAAAAAAAAACAATAACAAAAAACAAACAAAATGTCTTGTCCCGGACTTGGAGTGCTTTTATTCGCAGTACAAAAGATGTCGCATTTAAAAAAACCCGGGAGGGGGTTACTTCCTTGTATGGGCTATATAGGTATTTGCGGGCCTTAAGGGTCTGGTTTTTCAGCCGTTTTGGTCAGAAGCAGGGTATCGATTTTGGCCATTTTGGTCTCAAATAGGGTATGGCTTTTGCATCCTAGTCTTAAATTCGGTATGCTTTTTAGAAGAAGCTACTTTTTCACCATTATCGATAAGACCATCAACAAAAGCCCTTCACAATGGTTTGAATTAGGGAACTGATTACAAGGCAGGTCTGAAATAGGGTTTTAATTTAAGGGTCAGGTATTAAATAGGGTATCAAATTTTTAGTCAGGCCGTACGTAGAGTAGGGAAAATCACAGATTTTGGTCTTAAAGGAACTCAAGCCACTTACAAAATTACTTCGAAATTGAAGGAAATCAGAAAATAGTAGTTTACATAGATAGAAAAACACCAAAGGGATAATGATACGCCATAAAGGAACAAGAAAGGAACAAGGATGGTTAATTAAGATGGAGAAGATTTACACGGATTACGAACGACGGACTTGAAAAATTTTGGCCAAGCTTTTCAAGATGCCCAAACCGTGACATAGTTCCTTTAAATAGCGTATGGGTTTTGGGAAGCGGGCCGCACATCCCCAACCAATTTTTCTGGAAGTACCCCACCCCCTCCCCCTCCCGGGTTAAAAAGTTACCTGTCCCCCGTCCGTGACATCTGGTTGTTGTCGCCTTACTCTCCTTGGTAATGAGTCCTGGTTCTCCTTAAAGCTGCCTAAACCAGACAAACACGGCGGGATCAACTGTCAATCAATCTTGGTTACTAGTATATTTTGTTCAAATTTCTGTCAAATCGATGGAAACGTGAAAATCGTAGTTTACTTTGTTGAGTATAAAACACCGCAAGCATAAAAACAGATTTCGGTAACGAAACCACACGGTGGAGGAATATTTTAACAGGGCTCACAAAGAAGATCTGTATTAACTTTATTATTTAAATTGGTTTGATGTAAATAGGTCAAGCCTGATTCCCGAGGTTTTCTCTTTTCAAATTCTTGCTAGAAAAGGAGAGAAGCAAGAAAATCTCTGGGAACAGTCTACAAAATGTCTCAAGCACCAAATTCTCCTTGGTATAAAATGCTGACATGTGTCTAACATGATTCCACTAATCTAACCGACGCTGCTAACTTAACCTCGTGCATCGGATTGTGAAGGACATTGTCTGAAACAATAAGCCCTCTGAGTTAGGGAGAAAACTGATACACCTTTGATGCGATATGGTGTCCCTGTCTCTGCAGCATGTGGCAGAATGACATGACTCAGGCTTTCGTTTCGAGAAAAATTATAGAATACAACTTTGGCCAATTCTGCCAATTTCATCGGTTAGGAATTCTTTGAACACAAATGTACATCGAGAACTATTCTGATCAGAGAATAACGAGTATACCGGCTAAAGGAAATTTATAAGGTAACACAAACAGATGAAAATTCTCTTACTTTCACTACATCTTCCAGTTATCCACATCGAAGCGCTGAGCCATAGCAGTAGCAATATCACGCCAGAATACATCGCTGCGCGCTTGCCAGTGCTTGACTCAGTTTCAAAGCGTGGATTTGGACTTGGCTGGCGTCACCTCTTTGCCGCAAAGAAAGGGATGATGGGCGAACGGACTTGGATCAACAACGAGCCTCAGCAGACGTTTGCAAGCACGCAAACTGTGTCTGTCACACGTAAAATGTGGTTCGCACAAAGGCCAAGTGTGTACGTTATCACACTTGCGTGTAATTCGAGTTGCGATAAATGCCTGTATATCGTATGGGGTCAAGTCATGAAAGAGACCTCCTGGGAGAAAAAAAAAGTCAAATCGAAGAGATTTAAATAATTTATGGATGAGAAATATGAAGGAAAGCTTTTTTTGCTTGATAACAATTTCAACCCAGTTGTGGGTTGAACTCCTACACTGTATATGCATGTCGTTATTATGACGCTCTCATACTGAGCTTTTAGTTGGGCTACCTGTGATTAAAGTACAAGACCCGGGTACATATAAAGTACGGTACATGTTTGGGATTTTATGTCCGAACAAGTTGGCGGCCCGGTGGGGGGGGGGGGGGGGGGGGGNGGGGGGGGGGGGGGGGGGGGGGGGGGCTCTCATATCACGAAAGGACGGGGGTGCTCTTCGTGCCTTTTTGAGGTTAAAAGCGTGGTTTTTGTATTTCTTAGGGTGTTCAGCCTCAAAAGGTTCACAGCAGGAGTTTTTGTGATACCTTTTAGGGTATTGAGCCAAAATGTGTTGGAATTGGTACTTCTTAGGGGTGAAAAACATTTCAAGCCACGCTCACAAAACAGGATCTTGGTACCTGGTTACCGACTCATTCAAGCACTGCGAATTGACGGTCATGACAGATGATAGTGAAGATCGGCTGATTCATTGCTTAACCCTTTGAATACCAACTACGCATATATGCGTAATTAATGGTCGTGCTCTTTGTACCACTTG